ACGCCACCATGCCCAGCTAATTTTTTGTAGTTTTAGTAGAGACGGGGTTTCACAATGTTGACCAGGATGGTCTCGATCTCTTGACCTCGTGATCCACCCGTCTCGGCCTCCCAAAGTGCTGGGATTACAGGCTTGAGCCACCGCGCCCGGCCCTGACATCTCTTTTTCTTATGAGTCTCTCAGTCCATCTACTACTCACCCACAGCTTATCTTCCTCAGGGCCCCACTTAACATACCCTGGACTTAATGGTGCCCCTCTCTCTCCTAGTAGTCCCAGTGGTCACTGTATCCAGGGCAACCCAACCTAGAGAAGCAACAGGCCGATGGGCAGATGGATGCTGCCTCCTCCCTCCTACTGGCCAATTTTCTTTGTGTCTTCTGGCTCATACCTCCCAAACAAGAAAATCTGGGCTTTCCTTTCTCTTTATGACTCTTGTACCAGGGCCACAGGTCCAATGGTTCACATTCCCTCACCTTTACATGTCACTCCTCAGACCAGACAATTCTTATGTTTCCATCCCCTACTGTTCACACTGTAGGCTTCTCCCTAGCATCTCACCACGTGCATAGGATTCCTGACAGACGCAACCAGGATCCAATCCTGGTCCAAGCCAGCTACAGAGCTCCAAATACTCCACTGCCAGAGGCAGCCATAGCCCTGAAGTCAATGTCTCCCCTCCTTGCCCTGTTCCTTCAACCAACAGCTGCCCAGAATCAAAAGCAGATCTCAAATATCTTTTCCCTCTTATATCGTTGCCTTTGTATGTGTTGTCTCCTTCCTAGTCATAGCTGTCTCTGCTATTCCTAACACTCAAATCCTAGACTCACTGGCCCCACCTTGGCTTGGGGACTCAGCTTAGGCTGACCCTTTCTGATCTTGCCACTCCACCAACCTGACAAAAACGCCAGGAACCCACTTAAGAGGAGATAACATGCCCTGACTATAAAAAGGATTGCCACAAAAATGTAGTGAGCTATAGAGAGGTAAGTCAACCTAAACCAAAGCCCAGCTCTCATGCTTCTATTGCTATGCTTCATTTTTGTCCTAGACCTACTCTCTGCTTAAGAGGCTTGGCCACTATCTTAAACCCAACTAACAATTGCATGTAGTGTCCACACACAAGCATCCATCCGTTGGATGTTTCCAGCCTAAACCCAACATAATTTCATAATTGCATGTTTAGAGGTCCATTTGGCACCTCAATTTGGCAGTCTCTGGGACGTCTCAAATAAAACATGGCCAAAATCCAACTCTTTGATCTTCTTCCTGAAATCTACTCCTCACACAAACTTTCACATCTCAAAGATCTAACGTCATTTTTTTTTTAAAGACAGAGTCTCGCTCTGTCACTCAGGCTGGAGTGCAGTGGCATAATCTCAGCTCACTGCAACCTCCATCTCCCAGATTCAAACAATTCTTCTGCCTTAGCCTCCCAAGTTGCCGGGATTACAGGTGCATGCTACCATGCCCCAGCTAATTTTTTTGTATTTTTAGCAGAGATGAGGTTTCGCCATATTGGCCAGGCTGGTCTCGAACTCCTGACCTCAAGTGATCTGCCCGCGTCAGCCTCCCAAAGTGCTGGGATTACAGGCGTATACCACTGTGCCCAGCCTAAGGTCAATCTTAACACCTCACTTTCTTTCACTGTCCCACATCAGGTAATCTATGGCCCAGTTTGGGCAGATTCAGAAGCCAACCATTTGTCCTACCTCCACAGGCACCCTTCTGTCCAGCTACCCAAAGCACACATCTGGACCACGTCTATCAGCCCCTCACTGGCCTTCCTGCTCCACCCTCACCATCCCTCCAGTCTGCTCTCCACTAGGCATCTATAGGGAGTCTGTTAAGACTGGAGTCAGAGCACCTCCTTCCTCTGCTCCAAACCTTCCATGGTTGACACCACTATCAGAATAGAGGCCCAGCTCCTCAGGCTGCCATTCCAGGCCTAAGTCTGGTTTACATGCTGTTTCCACCAGACTAAATGTAGATCTGCAGTCCCTGGAATGCTTCCACGTCATCACCACTAGGCAAGGCACACATGCTGGGTCCCTGTGCCTGGGACAGCCTTCCAGATTTCATTCCGTAGCATTCCAGAAATGGGAATCCCTCGATATAACCCCTGGCCTGGATTCAGGATGGCAAGGGTAAGTGACTACCAGGGCAGGGCCCAAGACCCATGTGTGAGGACAGGACAGAGCCAAGAGTCCCAGGACACCAACATCCCCTATATCTGGGCTTCAGGATCCTGAGTGGCGGAATCCCAGCGGTGAGGGCCCGGGGCACACTCCACTCACCTGCGCCGGGCCCATCAGCGACGCTGGCAACCCCATTGGAACCTGTGGGCTGGGCAGTGCCATAACAGGAGGTGCCAGGGCTAGCTCAGCCGAACCCTCACACCTCCACTGGGTGGCGCGAACATTGGCTGACAACCGGTTGCACTCGGGGCCTGTCTTCCCAGATACAAAACGCGCGCAAGGAACAGGGAGCCGCCTCCCGGCACCGCAGGAACGAAAGTTGGGTAAGGAG